TTATTTTTGGTACCAGGGATTGAACCTAGGGATACTTAACCACTGAACTACATCCTCAGACTTTTTAATATTTTATTTAGAGATAGGGTCTCACTGTGTTGCTTATAGTCTCACTAAGTTGCTGAGGCTGGCTTTGAACTCAAAAAATCCTCCTGCCTCAGCCTTCTGAGCCAGTAACAGGGATAACATAGGTGTGTGCCATCACACCCAGGTTGAACCCCTTTTTTGATATGTGTATTGGTCATTGAATACCCTCTTTTATTAAGTGATTTAAGCCTCTGATTTTTTAAGTTGCATTGTTGTTCTAACTGATGTGTAGGAATTATCTACATATCCCAAATGCTAATCTTTCATCAGTTATATGTATTGCAAATATTTTTTTCTACTCGGTGGCTTGATATTTCACCCTTTCTTGGTATCTTTTTAAAATTAAATGAGATAATTGTAGCTTCACATGCAGTTGTAAAAAGTAATGCAGAGAGATCCCTTATACTCTTTCCTCAACCGCAACATATTGAAATACTCCAGTACAATATCACAGTCAGGATATTGACACAGTCAAGCAATGAACATTCCTATCACCACGAAGGGTTCTCTTGTTGTCCTCTTGTGGCCACACCTACTTCCCTTCATCCCTTGCCTCCTTAATCCCTAGAAACCAATAACCTCTTCACCATTTCTATAAATTTGTCGTTTCAAGTATGCCATACAAATGAAGTCATGTGGTGTGTAGCTTTTGAGGTTGGCTTTTTTTCACTCAGCATAATTCTCTGGAGAGTTCTTCAGGTCGTGGCTTATATCAGCAGTTTCCTACTTATTGCTGAGTAGTATTCCCTGTTATAATACCACAGTTGCTAATATATATCCACATTCACCTGTTGGAGCACATTCAGGTTGTTTCCTGTTTGGGGTTACTATTTTAAAAAAGCTTTTATAAATATTTATGTACAGGTTTTTGAATGAACCTGTGTTCTCATTTCTTTAGGATAAATGCCCAGGAATGTAATTGCTGTTACTTATGGTACTTTCCTGTTTAATTAGTCTACATATATTTAGAGCCATGTTGGAGTATTACAAATCTGTTTCAAACATGAACTATAACTTAGAAAACTTAAGAGGAAAAAGAATGCTATTTCTATCCAGATTTTTGCTTACCATGTACTTGCTTCCCTTCTAATGCTCCAGGTTTCTCTATCATTCCCTTTCTATTTAGAGAATTTCTCTTAGCCTTTCTTGTAGAGTCAGTATAGTAGTGACAAAGTGTCCTGATTTTGCTTCATCTTGGAATCTCTTGGTTTCCCCTTTCATTCTTGAAGGATATTTCCACTGACTGTAGGATTTGGGATTGACAGCTCTTTCTCTCAGCACTTAGGGGGGAAAAAGTATAACTTCTTTTCAACTTCTGTGGTTTCCAGTAGAAGT